AAATGACGTCATATTTGCGTGATTTCCTGTCTACATTTTATGTTAATGATTTATCACAGATTAGTACGTCTTTTGTTTCAAATGTTTACCCGCAACACGCATCCAATGAAAAGAACATGATTCGTTTCCTAACCGTCTTTTTTGGTAACCGTGTGTAAACCTACTGTTGCAACGGCAGCATCCGTTCAGAATGAACAGCACCTCTCGTGACCCGAGTTAACCCCGGAAGACCCAATGATTCCGAAAGAACGTAAAGTCTGGAAACGCATCTGATAATGACAGAACGCCATGGTCTCTTCAACGTGCATGAATACTAATGTTATTTTCACTCGAAATACGGTGCAAGATACATCACAATATTCGTGAAAATACCCTTCATAGTAACGTTCACACAAACGTCGGCGCTATATAACTCCACGGGGAAGAACAGTTTGTTGGGAACCGTTCCAGTGGAACCCCACTACGTTACTGTAATCCCCTGAAAAAAAAATCGATTCGACCACGGTCATTCAACCTGAGTGACCGTAATTAGATACAGGATGTAATGAACGCAGACTTACAACTCTAGAATGTATTCGAGGGCTACTCAGATTACCCTCTTTAAATAATTCGTAAGTTAAAACAAGCAAAGCGTTCAATGAACTTTGTTGCGTTGATGTAAATTAACCGGATGCGTAGTAGTACAGTGCCAGCTGCTCAGTTCATGTTTCTAACTGCTTGTCGTATTATACGTCGCTCACTATGAGTCGTCGCACGTTTACCTTGTGCTTAATCCGATAGGCATTAATCTCTTTTCCTTAAAGAGCGGTAGTCGGGGGTAGTCGTCGCGTCGCGTCAAAGATGGCGACTGTTGCGCAGATCAACGAATCAAACTAAGAAGTTACCAGGTTTTAAATAGGTATTTTTAGGTGATTGGACGGTATCGAAGGAGTCACCGGCGGTAATTAGTGCAAGTCGCGCCCAGGTTAAACCTCATACTTGTGATTTCCATTGGATTGTGGGAAAATCAATGTTTATCAACACAAATGTCGCACCTTTAACAATTAGATCATCAACACAATATTAGGGCCAGAAACACCCATGTCACTTTAAACTCGTTTATTTATTAGACTTTGACCGTCTGTATATATAAATTATCAATACAGACACGCATGTGACGTTGTTATTTGTCTATCCGTGACAGGTATTCGTCTCATAACTGGCTCAGTGGATTGCGCGTGCGTGAACGCGTGACTCATCCGTCTAAGTCACATAAATTAAACAGGCATCCATAAATCAGAGACCATAGAATAAAAGCAAACAGAACTGCATCTGCATCGGATTTTAATCTGACTAACCGATTGTACCTGGATATTAATATCTAGGGACTGGATGTTTATTATCGGAGGGTCGAGAAAACCGGTGACCAACTTTGAAAAATGCGTGACCCGCCTATCCTACGTGAACAAACAAACTCATATCCTTCCCAATGTTTAGCTGGAAAAAATAATGACCGACCCTTAAAAAAATGCAATTAATATAATAATAAATGTTTTCCGTGTGTATGAATCAATATATTAGACTTTTAAAACCAAGCAGCATGTTGTCAAACATTCTTTACTTGTACTTTAGTATTGAAACCAAACTGAAGTATAACACAAAGCTAAGAATTTCACAGTACATGCCGTATGCTAAACAGCTGTGTTTTTTAAATATCATGTGTATTTTATCAAATAACAGAGCCAAATTAGCACTGTCTGTCAATTTAGCACAAATATTTTGTGAAAACTAGTTTTTAAAAACATTTTGTAATACTTGTAAGCACAAATGATGTGCATATGTATTCCACTTTCAATTAATGGGGTAGAATTTGTTCATGATGGTAAAAAAACACATTGATTCATGTTGCAAAAAAATTCAAAACAAATAAAAAAAAAAGACTATAAAAACATCCGTGCACCCATTCTTGAGTTAATTTAATGGTGGCATGCTTTTGTGCTACTGTAAAAGGCTGAATTATTCACTGGGTTTTAATTTTGCTTATTTCGCAGACTGGAAAATGCACTGAATTAAAACCCAGTGAATATGTAAAATTTAGAATAGAACACATTATCTAAATGATAAAACCGTCAATTTAAAACCCACTGAATATGCCTGAAATTTAAACCCAGTGAATATTAGTCATTTTACAGTAAATCAATGGGGAGCATTCCCGTCCTAAATCAATGGGGGTGAGCTAACAATAACATGACAATAAAATATCGTCAAGAATACAATCCCCACAAACCTGTTATATCAATCTTTATTAGGAGTAAAGTCGTGTGAAAAGATGAGAAATGAGACGAAACGCAATAACATATGAAGCTAACAATCCGTAGTATTCCCTGCTGTGTTCATATAAGCATGGAAGGTAGTAGGAACTACCTTGAGTATAACACAATGAGTATAATTTGATAGAATTAATGTGCCTTTGTTAGATTAATAATTTCCTTTATAGTGGTATAGTGAAAATAAAATACAATGAACACAGTGCAACTACGACCAACATGCATATGCATGTGATCTGCATGTCACTCACAACGCTACTGATATCAAAAGTACTATAGAAATAAAATGTTTTGACTATCACTGACTACTATACCTGTGGCTCCGTAATCATAGTGGACGGGACACAAGTAAATGACCAGTCCTTTAATGACCCTTTTAAAAAAAACGTGACCGACCAGCAAACTTGTATCGGGAAAGGGTTGAACCCCCAAATCCTACGGCCCTCCCCTGGTAATCAACGCCCAGCTCCTCTTGTGCGATCCTTGGGTCTATCACGTGACCCACAACGGCAACTTGTTGTTTTTGAACACGGAACGACATATCATTGCAAATCTTGATAATACACAAGGGCGTCACGTTGGGTAGGTTTAAGGACATCAAGCTAACACGTGGGTTTAGTGACCAGCGATGATGTCAATAACACAAAGCAAGTAAGCGATATTTTACATTTGAACGTGGTTCAGCTCACACTAGCCCCGCAAACAAGCTAACCAGCGGTCACAGAGGTCAATCGACATTTTGTCTGCAATAATGTAAAATAATAATTCTAATAATTAACGTATTTTTTACCTGAATATGAATGATCACAGGTGTGAAATCTCGTTGTCAAAATCAGGCGTAGTACATGCCCAACAGACATTCAAACCTCGACTCAATCAAATATGATATGCAAATATATGTGTCGGGGAATCCCCCTGGAACTGGCGCACTGCATTATGGGAACAACTCGGCTCACACCGCGCTGTCTTGCATTGCCCTGCGGGACAATACGTTGCGATTATGAAAAATAACGAAAATTAGTTAATTCAAATTATTTGTTACACAATCAACACAAATCACCACAGTGAATGTAGTCGAATGTAGTCGATTTCCTGAGTGTGCATCTTTGCATACAGTGGCGTGAACATTGTTACAATCAAAGACGCGATGAACAGGAAGTTCATTCTCGGCTAGTATCATTGTCAAATTTTGGAGAGTTCAGGACTATTTATACAGGAGACGTTCCAATAAAGAATTGTTAAAAAAATCGATTGAGTTCAGCGGTTACATAGGTTATTTATTAGTGATGCCTCGGGAAACCAATATTTGAGATGTGAATCACTCCCATGACGAAACATCGGTGTTAATAGCCAAGGGGTGAGGGACTGCATTTCAAAAACAAATTTTATATATTCAAGATATATAATAATTCCTTGTAGAAGATTTTGTGGAATCTCTCGCGTCTGTTCTGTTCTGCCACGCCCTCTATAGTTATCACCGAGTTTTTGATGTGATAAATATGTTACTGACAGTTATGATAGTTGATAGTTTTGCACCATCCGACTACCTAATAACCGGGCTTTCATTCCGTCATATGTCATATTTTATTCAACCAATATAATATAAGAAGACCAAGTTAACTGAAGTGTGTTATAGTTAGTTTCTTTCGCGTATGTTACGCCATTATTGACATATAAAGAGGTAAAGAGGAAATGTCAACAGGTAGGGTTCTAATCAGGTCACGGAGTCACGGCTAGAACATGAAACACGACTGCTTCAAAATAAAAAAAAAACATCGTAGTTTCTGTTTACATAAAGAAATAGCAGCTTTGTGCAGTTACAGATGATACTATAATGCATACAAATAATAAAACATTGGTTTTGTTTATTTTAGAGGTTCCAAATTAGAAAAAAAGTCATTCAACTCAGTGTTATGATAATATTGGTTTGGGGAAGCATAATAAATAGGTGAAACGCTTCACTTGCGTTGAAACGATGCGCTGTTACGTTCGTAGATAATATGACGTCATTCGTATTGACCATCTGTACAAACCTCGTGACAATGACCAGTATGATACCAGGCCCACTAAGCATGGAAATCAGTGTACATCAGTTATAGTAGCTATTTCTGTTTGAATAGAGACCAATTGTGCAGATTATTTTTGTGTTGTTTAGTCACAGGAGATATGGGCCACACCATAGTGGGTGAGTGTTAGTATTATTTAACTATTGTATATTTAATTAATCAGTTTAGGGCAGTTGTCATATTCAAATTCATTTTATTGAAATACCTCAATTGTCTGATGTCTCTAAATCGGAGAGTCATAATTTGTCTATTGGTGTATCATGAAGATCTTTGCTGACTTGGGGCACAATGATTATTTGCAGTTTTTAGGTGGGTTTTATTTAACTGCAGACAAGAAACACAGCATAACTCCCATATTATACCATTTTCCATTGAGAGTTCAAATCGAAAAACGCATGGATAGATGGATACAAAATAACGATGCAATTTCTCTTCCTTTTTTGCACAGACAACACCGGCTAAAATATAGATAGGAACAATCCTGAGACTAATGAACTTTGTCATGTTTTACAAATAATACGTCATATATTTATTTTAACGTCCCTTAAAGATTAATATATATCATGAATTGTGTAAAAGTTTCCAAATATGAATAGGCAAAATAAAATACACTGGCCAGATATTCGAAAGGCAGAAAAACTATTTTTTTTATTTATACTCATAGTGGGAACATCATATCTTGTTCTCATTATCAACAGTATAAAGTCATCCTTCTATTTACTTATTTCCATGTCAATAAATTGTTTTTATTTCAGCCCCATATGAATTGATAAGACTTCCAAATATGATGGTTAGATTAAAATTGTGTCAGATAATTTGTACAAAAGACTGAATACAAATTTTAATCATACTGCTATTGGGGGTACTTACTCTTTTCAGTGGCTCATTCTCATCACTGTAATCTGAGACCGCATCTTCAGAAACATTGCTACTAGGTGCTTCCTGACTGTATATCAAATCATAAAGGAACCATTTATCTTCATTAACAATTGTGCCTACAGAGAAAATTTACTTTTGATAACAATACAACACTTAATGTCACTCTTGGGCGAGGTAAAATTTGTATTCAAAAGAATAGTATATAAGTTATTGCACGCACGTAAACTCAGACGATGCTGACTAAGTTTAATTATATGTTGTCAATGACAATCAGTAATGTGATAGCGAAGCTAAATATGTATTTCCTAACAGATTTATTCATTTTCTAAAATTTCAGGACAAAGTCTACCATGTACTGATATTTATGTTTTTCAGAAAAGTTTGGTTTGAACTATGTATTATTCGTTTGTTACCATTTGTAATAAAGACAAATAATTTTCTAATGCATTTAAACATCCCTATATTTATCAACCTTAGCTGAGATGGTCTTATAATCACAACTCTCATCCTAACTGTGGAAAATATTAAAATGGCACTCACCTTGTATATTTGATTTCTCAATCAAATTATTGATGAAATCATTTCACTATTTTGTTTACTTGCTTTCATATATGGATATGCTTTTCGAATATCATTCTCCAATACAGGCAGTTTCAATTATGTATATGTTGGTTCCACAAGGATTGGTTCGTCATCCTCTGGGTGACCTATTAGCAAATATTCCCTGTTCCGTTTTTGAAGTACAAGTCAGCCATTCAGTACCAGTGCTCCACTTTTTAAAACATAAATTGGCTTTGCCTGATTCGTCTCTTGTCATTTTGAAGATGTGAGATTGACTGTGTTTCTGAATATCATTTATGGCATCACCAAACCAATTTTTTACACCATATATTCTATCTAATAACTCAACTGTTGCATCATACTTCTTAAAGGACTTGGATAAGCCTCCCATTAATTCATCCAATGTCAGGGCATCATTGTGATTAAGCCGAGTGGAATATCGACTGAATACTTGGTCAATATCCTCATGAGTATGACCAACCATCAGAAAAGACACTTTAACCTAAATCAACCAAAAATAAAAAGTATTGTATACTTCTATGTTCAATGCATTTGATTATTGATGTAATTGAGACCTCGAAACCAAAGTACTTGAAAAGTGTTAGTGCAACCTAGAGATGTTAGGAAGTGATGTTATGTAAAGGGAATAACATCATTCAATCTATTTTGACTAAACAAAACACAACAAAATAAAAGTTACTTAACAATTACAGATTGTATCAGTTATTTTTTCATGTAACAGAGAAAGATCTTGCTTAGGTTAATAAGGCTGTTGAAGGATTCTGTGTCTCAAATAGACAATGCCAATTTGATACATTTTTTATGTTAACACGACCCAAATAAAATAGTCTTGATAAAGAGTAAGTTAAACTTTTGTCTTACATCAAGTCGGCAAATGTTTTCAGATTAGTTTACCTCATTAGTTAAATTTTTAGTCCCTGTTCCAGGCGCAGCCTGAAAAGGGGAATATAGTTTCTTATTTCTGGTTTCCATTTTCTCAAAAAATTTGCAGCAGATTTTGATGAAACTTGGCAGGTTGACAAGTCTCTGCCAAATATGTACGCAATGTTTTTTTCCAGATCTGAAAATCTTAAGTTTTTTTTTTTCATTATTTTTATCCAAAATGACCTCTACCAACACCGCTGAGAGAACAACTGAGCATGCTCAGAATAAATAAATTAGCTTAGGTTGTAATGATAAAGTTTTTAGTGATGTCATGACCTGGTCATGTATTACCGTATTTGTCAAGGTAAGAGCCCAGGGTCATAACATGAAAAATTGACAACAAAATAGGGGTGGGTCTATGCCCGGACATCCCCTGCAAAAAATAAAAGAAGATCAAACTGCGACAGGGGGTAGAACGGAAAATAAAACACACAACAGAAATAAATGAACAATGTGCAACATTATAATTAAATAAAAAAAATGTGTGCTTATAATGTGACAAATTAATCAGAAACAATAAAAACCGACAGTGCAGAATGAAGAAATTAAGATTTCCCCAACGACAAATACGTCCAACAACTC